CACCACGGGGCTGCAGCTCTCTGCCCACACTCTGGGGCAAAGCCTCTGCCTGCCCTACCCTTTTGGCCCTTGCTCTGTCCTCTTGCCAACAGCCCAAGGGCTGGCTGGCTCCTCCTCCTCCAGGCCAGAGATGGGCTCAGGTGAGAGGTAGCTGCCTCCTTACTTGCTTCCCCTGCTTTCCCTGTCCTTAATGCTCAATCCTCCTAACTGGTCAGAAAGGATTTTTAAATACAATGATCCAAGTGATTAAAAATGTTCTTTAATTCTTTCAAGTTCGTTTTTTCACCCCACTCTGTACCCCAGGAGAAAGGGCTTCTAAAAATTACTTTCCTAAGAAGCTTTTCTGTACTTTAACAGAATTTGTGAACACTGGAAATGGTCTTCCAGAGGGTAAATATTAGAGACGTTTACCAGCTCTTTTGGAAACTGAATCTAACACAATAAGGTTGACTCTAACATCAGTATTGTTTTTGAGACGTGTTTAGGACTCAAGAGGCTACGAGCTGTTCCTGAGCAGAAATGATAGCAGCTCTGCAATGCTTACTGCCCGTATGTTCGTTATGTGCTGCGAGCCCCGACCTCAGGAAGACATCACAGGGCAGAGGACATAAGCGGCTGGTACACAGGCCAGATTCAGCTTGCAAACATTTTGTTTGACTCATACTGTATTTATCAAAAAACTGAATTAGGCTGCCAACTCTTAAATGTCAGAATGTTTCCAGCTTTTCTTAAAAACTCGGAAAATCTGGCAAAACTAAGCCCACATTCCCAGCTGATGACAAGCAGAGTAACAACTGCCCGCTTCAGAGAGCATCGGCCCTCTGTCCCCGCAGCTCCTACCTTCCTCGTTTCCCCAAGACCTGTCCCTCTTTAAACTGGAAATCACAGCACACCCACACTGAGACAGGACTCACTCAGACAAGAGAGACACAGGCCCCTTGTCCCCAAAGAGCTGACTCTTGTTTCCTTAGCATCACAAAGATTTGCTTTGTGTCTTCCTAATTTTTGCCCCTTTTAACAAAAAGGGGTTAAAAAAATCCTGGCAAAGTTGGGGGAGCATTGCTTTCTTACTTGCTAAGAAAAGAAAGTAGACATCAAGAGAAAATAGCCAGGCTGGATTTCAAAAGGAAAAGCTGAGGGCTAGGAGGGCAGGGTGGAGTGTCAGGGATGCCCCGTTTGCCAGATGAGGATGGCTGAGGCCAAGAGAGAGACAGGGTAGATGGGCTCCTGATGGAAGAACAAACAGGAGCGTGGCCTGTACCGTCTTTACCCAGCTGGCAGCACATTCCTCCCGTTAGCCACAGCTGTTTTCCTTGCCTCAGTTTCCGAGTGCACATTTGCAAGAAAAGCCAGCCCATCACCTTGGTGGGGTGCAAAGGCCAGCTTCAGAAGTCACAGGGCACTGTAAGGTATACGATTCTAGAAGAATCCATGGGAGACTAGTTAGCACTTATCATCTATTAATTCCCTGATAAATTTTGGGAGAGCCAGCCTGTTCTCATTTGTTCGAGCCAATCCCAAAGACTCCTTGTGTTTGTAAGTGGGAGTGGGGTTAACATGTTGAGCCCAATATCTGTCACTGGTGGTTAAGTTTTACTAAAGCAAATTCCCTGCGTTTGCAGTGAACACAAACATTCAACCAAAAAAAAATTTTTTAAATATTTAAATGGGCCATTTCCTGGGACTTTAAGACACTTTGATGCATTTATTACAAGTAGATATAGCCATTCTAAAATTCTACCAGAATTAGTTAATTAATTTAGTTAATTAAAAAAAATCATCTCTACATGTAGTAAAAAGAAAGAAGAGAAAAACAATTATTTTCTTTAGCTTGCCAACCTGAATTTAGATGTGGTTTCAGATCTGCTCTTATAGATAAGGAAGGGAGACCAAATTGGCTGGCTTCCTCCACCAGTTTCCAATTGCTAAGAACAAGCCCACATCACCCTAACTTCGGGACGGGGATCCTGCCTGCTCCAGCAACTCACTGCACAGAATCTGCTGAGCTGTGCAATGGCCGAGAAGTTAGGACAATGAAACAGAACTAGGCTTCAAACTGCAGTAAGCGAAAGGGAGGCAGAAACAGGAGCTTAGGGAGGAGGAAGAGAAGGATGCAGAAATACGTGGAGTGGAGGCCTGGTGGGTGAGGGCTTCTGAGCCGCGGGCTGCATTTCTCTTTGAAGAAAGCCAGAAAAGAAAGGACCAGAAGAAAGGTCTAAAATGTTTGTGGTAGACTGCAGAGATGTGGTGAGGAGCAGAGAAATGCGAGGCAACCAACCAGTTTAGCTTGGGCATTAATAAAAACAAGGCTTCATGATGAAGTTAGACATGTGGCCGTATGAATCTGCCCCCACAGGTCAGTGTTCATCACACGAGGCCAGGCAGCTTCATGCCTGCAAGGAAGGAACAACCACCAGATCCCCTTGAAACACAGATACCAACACGTTTTTTCATCGTGTGCCCTGCTCTCTCCTCTCCCCCCGCCCCCCGAAGTCTGTTGTCAGCACGTGCCTTCCGGAGCAACAGGCACCCTCCCTTCGGTCTGTTTGCAACCCATTCATTGTCCCTTTTCAAGGACGCCCACCAGCAGCGAAGCAGGTGCAACAAATTGGGAGAAGAGGGAACAGGACCTGCCACTCCAAGTTTAGGCCCTGAAGAGTTCTGAAAAGGACAGACCCCGAAAAAATCAAACAGGCCCCAAGTTCTGGGTCTGCCCTGCCCGAGAGCTATAGGAAAGGCTGGTTCTGTTTCACACCAGCTGTGGAGCATCTCTGCCTGCTCTTGGGGCTGAAGGATTCTTTGTCCTCAGGCCCCGGAAAGCGGGTTCTCCTGGCGGGGGAACCTCCCCATCTGCTCACAGGGATGAAGCCCTTGTTTGGTTTATCCACTACACTTCATTTCGTCCTCTCCTTAGAATCCAATTAAGAGGCGAAAGTCTAATCCCACTTTCCAACCGAGGGCTCAAAGAGCCGAGTCACCTGTCCCGGGGCGGGGGGGGGGGGGGGGGAAGCGGTAACACTTTAACAGCGGGACTTTAACAGGGCGCGCGCAAGGGACCGGGGTGTTTGAGTTCCCAATCAAGCCTCCACGACCCGACCCAAGTCCCCACATCTGTGGAGAGAAAGTTCCCGGTGGGGCGGGGGCGGTGCAGCCCTCTGCCTCGTCCGCCCTAGGATCCGAGGCGCCTCCGGGGGAGGCGAGGGAGGCAGCCCCAGCCCCAGAGAGCAGAGCCAGGGAACTTCAGAGAGCGTTTGGCCCTCGCCGGGGAGGGAGGCAGACACCGACACGTCTGACTCCTTCTCAACAAGTGCCTTCAAGCCCGGCGGGGGCAGACACCTCCGCGTCCGCGGCCGGCCGGCGAGGTCTTCCGCCGTGCGCGGGGGTACCCGGGGCCTGGCCGGCTTGAGCGTGGCCTTGGGCGGGCGGAGCGGCGCCCAGCGAGCCCCCCCGGCGGCGGCGGCGGCGGCCCGGAGAGCAGGGGGCGCGGGGCGGGGGCGGGGCGAGCGGAGGGGCGGGCCCCCCCGGGGCGCGGGGGCGACGCGAGTGCGC